TATATATAGAACATTTTTCATGTTCAGTAGCACATCACTTCACTGTAATAGAATCTTAACATTTAAATCTGTTCCGAATAGCTGTAATTTCTAAGATTTCTGTCAGAATAAATTTTGCTTTTAATTTTACTACGATTAACACTACAGTTTTTTTTGAAGAAAGATGTTAAACATAAAACATTACCATGCTTCTAACTTTAGATTTGTGTGGCATGTCGGAATTTCACATAACAGCTTCAGGTAAGTATAGACCACCGCTTTTTGGAGACAAAACTATTTGCAATCTTGCTATGTGACTTTAGGCAAGTTATGTAATATTTTGTAAGTCTTCGTGTCTTTAAACATGGAGCTAGCAATGCTTTTTTTCAAAAGAGTGTTTGAAAGTGCTTGGCATATAGTAGACCCTCAATAAATATGCTTCATTTCAGTATACTCTAAAGTGACAAGTATTCCTCAACTGCATCAACAGTCTAGAAATCATGTATTTTTAAGTAAAAAGGAATGTAAAATTGTACTAAAAGGAACACAAAGAACATGTATTATTTCATGTACCTGTTATAAGTTACACACCAGAACTAGATGACAGCAAATTCTACGTTTAACAGAAAACTCAGAACCAATAACTCCATCATCATGGAACAACAGTCACATTTAAGGTCAAGGACCTAATTGTCAAGATGACTGTAAACAACACTGACATTGTGGAAATCCATTTTTCCATAAATGAAACGCTGATATGGCTTTGACACCAATCTATAATTCCATACCTAGGTTTCTGTATATTTGAAATAATAAAAACCTTTACAAACCTAGCAAAGACACATCAGCAATGATGAAGTATCCTCCATCAGGAACTATGGGTGTCAGGCCAACACTTTCAAGTAAACGTACCATCCGATCTCTTTTTACTTCTAACTCTTTTGGCAAAGAATTAAAGTAACACTCTGGGTCATCCATGCGCTTAATGTCAATCCAAAAAGCTTGAGCCAAGGCTTCCTGTATGTCAAGATTGAAAAATATAAAAAGAAAATATGATAATGTTATTTACTGCTGAATTTATTGGTATAATAAATACAGACTGAGTAGCATTATTGGCAAAAAGTCTTTCAGGGAATCACAGCTGAATCTCTGTGAACCTATGTTAAATTCTATAGATTAATGGAGGAATCAGTTACGTGTAAATGATGAATTCTAATGTGAAGAACTGGGAACGGACCATGAAAATCCAAACTGAAACAGAGGGTCAGTTGTCCCTTGGTATTCTCAGAGGACTGGTTCCAGGATCCTTACAGATACCAAAATCCACGGATGCTCAAGTCCCATAGATTCTGCTTCTGCAGATTCAACCAATGGGGGATCCACAGTCTTTGGTTGAATCCGTGAATGCAGAACCTGTGAGCAAGAAGGACCAACTGTATTATACAAAGACAGCTTCCTTGGAAGTGAAAAGACATTGTTATTTCCTCTTGAGGTTAGCTGTAGAATAACTTGCTAGCTCTAAGTCTGAAAGATGACCAGAGAAATGATGAAATAGCCAGCACTTCCCCATTACCTTGAAGGACGTAGTGGAAATGAGAGCTGATGCACCGTGTCATTCCCCGTAAGTGTACAAATCCCTGCTCTAATCATTCACATCCCAGGAAGGCAGTGTAAGTCCCACAGGGATTAGAAACAAGTTTCTGGGGACATGTGGAATTGCTTCTCTACCATTCTTCAGGAAAGTCAGAAGAGAAAGGAGAGAAATTGGGCAAAATGAAAAGAGCCAGTGTTGTTTGATCAGGCAGGTGTCTCAGAAGGCAACAGGTCAGGAACAGGTAAAGGAGTCCAAATCAGGGCATACAAAACAACAAGGATCTGCACAAGCAGGAGGGCAGAAGTTTGGTAGTTGAACTGGGACAACCTAGAAATACTGGCCCTCAGAGCAAACAAGGAGATCCAAAC